CGGCAAACTTGCTGAGGGTGCAATGTAGTAAGTACATTGGAATCCTTGGGGCTCCTTTGTTTTTCAGAAAGCCGTGTTTTTTGCTCCTTTTGTACCGTAAGCTGTAGTCTTTGGAAAAACATTGTGGAAATAATACTGTTAATATCTTTCAGTTTATGATGTCACGAGAAGAGATACTTTTGTCAAGCTGGATAACTGGTTAAATGAACTGGAAACATACTGCACAAGGAATGACATAGTGAAAATGCTAGTTGGAAACAAGATTGATAAGGTAAACTGAATTCAGCTGCATCAACTCATATGTTGGTGTATTTTGTTAATAATGTGTATTAATTCTATGTCTTGTTATAGGAAAACCGTGAAGTTGACAGAAATGAAGGTCTCAAATTTGCAAGAAAACATTCCATGTTGTTCATAGGTATGTTGCAGATACTGGCAGAGATCTTACTTGATTTTTGTTCCATAATGCAAAGTACCGCTTCTGTAGGACTGGTAGTCTTCATACGTACAGACCAGTTAATGGTATTTCTCTGCTGCAGAAGGTACAGAGATAATAAGGTATTCTCATTTTGTTTAAATTGTTGCTGAATATGTCTAGATAGTTAATCTAACTGGGGATGAGTATGCTGAAATGCATAGGATGGGATACAGGCTCTACTGTAGTATGACAGAACTTGGTTTACATTTGGTGTTTTATCTGATTTCTTCTCCCAGCCTACTTGCTAAATTAATAACAGAAGCAAAATGAAAGAGAAACTGGTACTAGTGGTCAACTTTCAGTATAGCAAAAGGCCTGGTACTTTACAACCCAGTTCTAATACCAATTTCTGTCAAAATAAGTAAGAATATAATTAAATTATAATATTTGGGGTGGGTAGGGTTGAATAATCATAGAATAGTTTGGGTTGGAAGGGACCTTTTAAAGGTCATCTATTCCAACCCACCCTGCAGCGAGCAGGGACAACTAGATCAGGTTGCGCAGAGCCCCGTTCAACCTGCCCTTGAATGTTCCCAGGGATGGGGCATCCAGCACCTCTCTGGGCACATTATTCCAGTGTTTCACCACCCTCACTGTAAAAAATTTATTCTTACCTAGTGTAAATCTACCCTCTTATAGTTTAAAATCATTACCCCCTGTCCTGTTGCAACAGGCCCTGCTAAAAAGTTTGTCCCAATCTTTCTTATAAGCCCCCTTTAAGTGTTGAAAGGTCTCGCTGGATGACATAATTATGACTGGAGCAAATATGTTGGTTTCCTCTTGCTGCAAAATGAGGTGGGTCTTGTAGGCAAAGCCTGTAATGATAAGTTCAAGTGGGTGGTGAAGTAGTTCTTTAAGCATAGGTTTATTCTGTGTTTCATTTAAGGCTCAGCAGGGATTACTTCATAGGATGACTCCATTAGCAAAGCAGTGCAATGACATGTCCTATGCTTCGACAAGTTCCTCATCTCTAACTGATGACATCTTTGTCAAGTGCCTTGCTGTGTTTCGCTTTGGCAAGTGTCAGATGTAGAAGTTCAGAGTTAAGGCACAAGCTGTTAAATGCATAGAACATGAAAAGAAATATGAAAACTAAATTACATATACCTGCATGCTACATGTGTTGAGTATCTGCATGGCTGTGTAGAAGAAAGCTTTGAGCCTTAGTGGGACTGAATGGTTTCCCATGGTATCTGTTGCTCTTGATATACCTGTGAGCAAATTTCTTGAGCTTAGCCAAAGGCTCCTCAGTGAAACTGCCTAGAATTCTGCCAACTGCAGAAGAAATGTGATCCCTTAATTGCTTTTTATCAGATGAATTGTTGCATTGTGAAGGCTGTCTCAGGAGTCCTACAGTATGGATCCTTGCTTCTTATGGTACAGCGGTACTGCAGTTCTGACTAATACAGAACTGAAATACAGAACAGCAACCAGGTTTATCAGACATTTTAAGTTAGTACCCTCCTTTATTCTTACTGAAGTGGTTTCTGCAGAAAACTAAAGCCAAGCTATAGCTGTCTCTGTATATTCTAGTGACATTCAGCTTGGAGGCTCTATTAAGAGTCTCTTGAGGTGCTGCCTTGTGTGGCGACAGAAATCTGCGTGCCAGATACATTATTGTGGAATGTATTGTGGAAGTTGTAGTCTAGGTTGTAGGTTGACAAGAAGTTACTGGAAACTGTGCTAACACTTGACTTCTTGCGTCCCTTCTCCAGAGGCAAGTGCAAAAACATGTGATGGTGTACAGTGTGCCTTTGAAGAACTTGTGGAAAAAATCATTCAGACTCCTGGACTGTGGGAGAGTGAGAGCCAAAACAGAGGTGTAAAGTTATCAAACAAGGAAGAAGGATATGGAGGAGGAGGAGCATGTGGTGGATATTGTTCTATGTTATAAACTTTGGGAAGCTTATTCTTTGCATATTTAAACAGATAGCGACATCCTTCTGTACATAAATTCATTAAATGCTATTTTTAGGGACCTTGCAGTTTGCACATATTTGTTTTGTATTATGGCAGTGAACACTTGTAGGAAAAACATTCTGCAGCTTTCCCAGTTTGAAAATGTTATGGTAAGCATGCCCAATTTGCGATCTTCAGGTTTTTATAAGTAGCATAAACAATGTGCAAGAACAAATGCACTAAAAGTTTTACAACTGTATACATTCATCTTGTAACTATTCTAAACCAAACCAATCCATCTTACACACACACTACTGCATTGTCTGCTCTGTCTTATTTTTAAATACTCTTGAAATTTAGAACTATGTAGTGTGCACAGATCTTGAAAGCAGTGTGAGCTGTTAATGTTACATTTCATCTCTTCAGGTAAATGCTTTATGGTATTAAAACCAGACAGATTATGCAGTTCTTAGACAAATCTGCTAAATTTGTCTTTCAGCAGGGCTGTCCAAAATATAAGTTGGCACAGGCCACAGTTGGTATCGTCACCTTCTTGAAGAGATGCTTTGAAAGCTTCCTTTGCAAGCTGGGGCACACCCTTTTTTCTTTTTATTCATCACTCCAGCTGATGGCTTAACTGGAGTTTTAATCCTGTGATATTTATATACTAAATTTGTGGTACTCTTGCACTCTAGGTTTTTATGATGCAGTCTATTCCAGGCTTGCTGTAGAAAGTCTTCATTTTTGGCAAGGGGTCTGAACGACATCTTTGTTCTTTCATTGTGAATCAATCTGCCACACTTCAGTACAGATGCCTAATTTTCCTAAATGTTTGTAATATAACTTTATCTCAAACTGTAACTTGCTGTGGCCATGAAGATCTCTATCACGTCTGCTTTGTGCAGCTACTTAAATAAAACTTCCTGTCACAGACACTAAATGGGAAGCTATAGGGCTTCTTGATCTCTGTATGGAAAAATACTATTGCATTGAGTATTCACTTGAATTTAATGTATCAAAGCCAATGGTTTGTTTCAGAAGACTTGTATAGACTAATAAATTTTTTTTCCACAGTATTCAACTTTTCTAACCTCTTCCTATTGTAGAGTTGTATATTTTTTAGCACATACAGTTTACACAAGGTCACTTCTTACAGACGAATTATTTCTAATTTCTGAAGGACAAGACAAGAATGCTGTGCTGTGGTTTTGTGCGGTTTTTTAATCACTATAGTGCAATCAGTAACTGAACTATCGGGCAGTTTCTTGTAAATATAGTGAATGACAGTACCTTTTCTTACTGCAAGGCTTTGTGTAAATGTCAGCATACATGATCTGTATTTTGCAGCAGGTCTTGGTTGCTTCTGTTAAAATACACGATTCTTCACATGGAAACTGTTTTCTATTCTATTTTACACTTGCTAGAAAACAATACCAAAATTTGAAGACTTAACCATGCTAGATGTTTTTACAAAATACTGTATCTATAGTGGTGTTAATGTAGTGGGGTAATTTAAATATGTAAATGTAACATTAAATATACATATTGTATTAAAATGTTAGATTTGTATTACTGTTGCATGCAGACTATGTGGGCTGAGCAAGTCCTGTTCGTTAGCACTGAGGTCAAAGGATTTCTTTTGTTTTTTGCAGGCTAGCAGTAGGGAAAACTTGTAGGAGCATAAAAACTCTGAATGACTTCATTTTAGTATTATTTCCATAATAATGGACAAGTATCATAATGCTGGCAGATGGCTGTAAATAATTTGCATACCTATTGTCCTCCTAGTCTGCGTGCATCGCCATGTTGAAAAGACTTAATTTTCCATTTCTCACAGAAGACCCTTCTAGCACAGGACCCGGATTCAGCTTTCCTTCTGCTTTTACTAGATCTGACAGCTCTTGTCAAAAGAGGAGCTGCGGCGCACTCTGAATAGTAGGTGTTGTTCTGCGAAAGAATCGAGTCACTTGCTTTCCTCTAAAAAGCAAAGTTTCTGTGGGGACAGAGGAGTATACTGAAAAGAGTGTATTTGGTGAGACTGAGAGCAGTTAGCAAAAAGCAAGCTACATTTTTTTTAATCCTCTCTCCTTTTGTTTGTTTGTGTTTTTGGAGGAGAGGAAGAAGCTGTCATCTTTCAAGAAGATTGTTCCCATGCTTTCAAAGTCGTTTTTCCCGTTTACAGGTCAGAATTGCATCACTGATGTACCCTGTCACTGTTGTAGCTGTAATGTGAGCCTATCTGAAACTACTGCAGGCTGTATCGTAACCTCTGCTTAATACTCTCTGGGGTATTGAGTGTGGGAGTCAGAAGTGTGCCTGGGAGATCCGTCAATCCACTGCAGTAGGTAGCTGAGGAATAACGGAGGTAGATACTCTTTGTTCTTCATCAGGTAATGAGAATGTATCCACTGCTGCGGAAGGTAATCTTACAAAAAGACACTAAACCAGAATGAGAACTGATAAATCTTACATGATTATGGAAGACAGTTGAAACTGAAGTTGTTTCCAGTTCACTTTGTAGTCAGTATTAAAAATACTGAGTAGCAGTTGAGTACTTGTGGCTGGCAGAGGTTTTCCGGAGCCTTTAGCCTGGAAGAATATGGCACAGCAGTTGCATCTTCTTGTACTTACACTTGACAATACTATGAAGTGGTGTTACAGTTTTGTGTTGGAATTACTCAACGGTTCTAAAAAAAGCAGGTGGGACAGGCTTCTAGTGGAGATTTCAAGATGGTTGTTTTTATTGCCAGTGGGGCTTTTATCCATACTACAGCATCACTTTTCCTGTTCTCCTATGGCAATAATGAGATCAACAGCTGGCTTTAAGTTGTTTTGACAAAACAAAAGCATGAGTTCAGCACATCCCCAAACAATACCAGTGGCTGTCTCTCCAGCCTTGGTAAAACTTTAGGGAACAGTGATGTTTTTGCTGCTGTCACATTGCATGGTGGGGACCACTGTGCCTCATTTTGTTTGTTCTCGTTTGCCAGTAACCTGAAGGAGATACCGTGAGCTACAATAATCCTTCTAGTCTTGCCCAGTAGCTTAGTGTAATTATTCTGTGTTTTGAGGCTGAACTGGGGCCATTTTTTTTCAAACACTTGCAAAATTTGGGCAGCCTGTGTTGTGATGAGCACAGGTTAATGGTTACTGGAGGATTGATACAGGTGTTCAAGGTGCTGCAACCAGCCTGTATGTGTGGTCTTGTTCAAGCTCCTCTAGTAGCTTTCAGTATCTTGCTGTTTTCCATGAAGGAGCAACGTTAGTATGAGCAGAGCTTTTTCGTGTTGCCAGATGAGTCATTGCATGGTTTTCAGAACTGGTTGAGCCTTCAAGGGCAAAATATAAGGTGTTTTCCCTCGTGGTTTTCCAACAGCATTAGGTAGGAGAACAGAGCAGCTCCATTAGAACTGTTTAAAGTTTTGTAAGGTTTTCATGTACCTTGTTCTTGAGTACCTGTGGTACCTTAATTAAAAATTGAGGAGTTACACAGGCAAAGAACTGTGAAGGCATGTTTCCAAACTACTGCATGCTTATGTTCTGTGGTTGGTTTTTATGCCAGAGAAAGGCATAAAGACATGGACAAAACTTCGGAGTAACATCTGGTCCTTTCCTTTGGAGTTAAAATGGTCATGGTGCTTGACTACTGAAGACTTCACACCCCACCCCACCCCCCGCCCCCATGCTTCTGGGTTCATAGAATCACAGGTTGGTTTGGGTTGGAAGGGACCTTAAAGACCATCCAGTTCCAACCCCCCTGCCATGGGCAGGGACACCTTCCACTAGACCAGGTTGCTCAAAGCCTCATCCAGCCTGGTCTTGAACACTTCCAGGGATGGGGCATCCGCAGCTCCTCTGGGCAACCTGTGCCAGTGCCTCACCACCCTCTCTGTGAAGAACTTCTTCCTGATGTCTAATCTAAACCTCCCCACTTTCAATTTAAACCCATTATCCCTTGTCCTGTCACTACAGGCCCTTGGAAAAAGTCCCCCCCAGCTTCCTTGTAGCCCCTTCAGGTACTGGAAGGCTGCTATGAAGGCTGTTCTGTAGCATCTCTATGTGTTAGGTGTACAATGATAGAGTTCCTAGTGAAGTTCTAAAATAAAGAACTAGAGGCAGGAGTTCTAGAAGCTCAAAAAAAAAAAAGAAAACCCAGAAGGAGGCTTAAAATGAAGTGGCAAGTTGTAGTTGGAAGTGTTTTGATGTAAGATAGTTCTGAGATCTTGTGCTTTCTATGTATGATCAGCTCTGGATTTACTTGTTTCTGGGAACAAGTCTTCTGGCTGGATCCTGTTGCCAGGAGTGGTTGGTTCCCAGTTCATAGTGCTTGTTGGGCTGGACTTCCTGATCGGAGGAGTGTGGCTATGAAGGTGTTTATGACAGCACAAATTCTGTTCTTTAATATAGCTAGATCTGGAGCTGCTCCTTACTGCTTAGGCCTGGGAGCAAAGCCATAAACTGGGGTTCAGGTACGACAAAGGTACAAACCCTGTGAGCAGGTGTCATCCAGAAGAACAGAAGGAGTGTGTCCCTGCCCATGGCAGCGGGGTTGGAACTAGATGATCTTTAAGGTCCCTTCCAACCCAAACCATTCTATGATTCTATGAGTGATGCCTATGGAAGCAAGAGTTGAGCTTTGTATACTAATAATGCCTGAGCTTGGTATGAAGTCAAGGCTGAACTGGATTAATTGGGTACTTGGGGTGCCAGAGGTCAGAGATCACCTCTGTCCAGGTGTGATCGCACTTTTCTCCTGGACAGTACCCTCAGTCACCGAATGGCTGAAGCTGGCAGGAGTCTCTGGAGGTTGTCTGGTCCAGCCTCCCTGCTCAAGCCAGACCTGGTTGCCTGGGCCTATGTCCAGATGGCTTCTGAATCCATCAGGAAGGGAGACTCCACAACCTTGTTGGGAAACTGTTCTAGTGCTTATTCACCTTTGCAATAAATAAAAAGGTTGTTTTCTAATGGGACCAGAGGCCTAGTCACTGGACACCACTGAAAGACCCCTCCCTCTGCCACCTTTTCGCCAGGCTGAAGTTAGAGCCTTTCCTTAACAACACCTCTGTGGCCCTTCACTGGACTGTGCCCTGTTGTCCATGCCTCTCTCCTGGCCTGCTGGCAGTGCCCCGGCGACTGACAGGCTGCCTCTGGGCAGCTCGTGTTCTCCTGGGGAGGCACCAGGACCAGTCCTTTCCTACCAAGCTGCTTTCCAGGGGGGTGTCCTCCCAGCACCTACTGGTGCCTGCAGCACTTGGCCTTTTGCTGGGCTTCCGTCACGTTCGCGTTGACCCTTAAAAGGGAATCCCGTCCCTGGGTGGGCTCGAACCACCAACCTTTCGGTTAACAGCCGAACGCGCTAACCGATTGCGCCACAGAGACTGCTGTGCTGGTTTTTTGCGGAGCTGAAGCCCGGATGGTGTTCGATAGCTGGGGGCTGTGTGTGTTGGGCAGTGACAGACCAGTGCTGCTGGCACACACTCGTGTTACTGTAAGAGATGGGGGGGCAGGGATGGTGTGA